TGCAGCAGAGAGACCCTCAGGTGTGCAGCAGAGAGCCCCTCAGGTGTGCAGCTGAAAGCCTCTCAGGTGTGCATCAGAGAGACCCTCAGGTGTGCGTCAGAGAGACTCTCAGGTGTGCAGCAGAGAGACCCTCAGGTGTATAGCAGAGAGACCCTCAGGTGTGCAGCAGAGAGACCTTGACGTGTGTCGCAGCGATTCCCCAGGTGTGCAGCAGCCATCCTCCCAGGTGTACAGCAGAGATCCTGCCTCCATATCCCAGGAGAGACTCCACAAGTCCTCTCCGTGGGAGCAGCTGGAACACTGTCCAGAGCTGCCCCTCAGTGGACAAGAGCCAGGCTGTCCTGGCGCCTGTCCTGTCCCCACACTTGGCAATCCCAGAAGTGGGCAGGGTGAACACATACTCATCGCCAGCGTGGCACAGCAGTCTTGCTTATGGAACTCGTTCCAGGCTCTGGTCTTGCAGAACTTGCTGCAGGTCAAGATGCCATAGCAGCGGATACAGGGCAAGAGGCGCACCCCGACTGAGCGGCCACACTGGTAACAGAACTTGAAGATGGGGATCCTGTGGGCGGAGTGTCCAGTCAGTAGGTGTTCATACCCCTGCCCGTCCCCTGCCTCCACCCAAGCCAACTCCAGCCTTCTAAGTGAGGACACATCGAGATAAAAGCCCACTGCCTCTACCAGACACTGGGTGCCAGGCCTCTCCCAGGTGGACAGCCAGCAGCCACTGCTCAGTAGTGTGCTTGCTGGCACCCCGGGAAGTCCTGAGCCCCTGTCTCAGGGGTGCCGACACAGACCTGTCAACACAGGAAGCAAGCACAGCTTAGGCTGTGTGAGGACATCACACCTGCCGCTCATGGGGACCAGAACGCCAGCTCACAGGCACACCTGCTCTAGCCTTGTCACAGATGGAGGTTAGCGGCAACTTTACATCAAGCAAGCGTATCAGAGCACGTGTTTGCTTTGTGTCCCCGTCCCATTTTTGTCCTTCTGGTGACAGTCAAGTTGTTCACCATGCTAGTGACCTGATGTCACAACCTTGTCAAGGACTATAGCCTTCAGTGTGGATTACATCTCAACAGCAGGAAAACTAAAATCCTCATCATTGGGCCAACAGACAACCTCCTGAGAGACGGAGAAAAGATGGAAATTGTCAACGACTTCATTTTACCTGGATCCACAACCAACTCCCTTGGAACCAGCAGTGAAGAAATCAAAAGACATGTGACATTGGGAAAAATCTGTTGTCAAGGACCTCTCCAAAGCTCTCAAAAGCAAAGATGTCCATTTAAAGACCAAGGCATACCTAAGCCCAGCCTGGATATTTTCAATTGCTTCCTGTGCATCTGAAGGTTTGGACAATGATTAAGAACGACAGAAAAAAACCCTGCTGCCCTAGAGTCGTGGTGTTGGAGAGAGTCCTGAATGTTCCTGAGACTGAGACTGTCAAAAGGACAGACAGACATGTCTTGGAAAAAGTGCAACCGAGGTGTTCCTTAAAGGGAGTGAAGCTCCATCTCACCGACCTTGGGGTGTGTTGTCAGAAGGGACTCATCCTTGGAAAGAGACCTCCTGCTGGGAAAGGGGGAGGGTCAGCCTAAAAGAGGAGGCCCCTCAGCGAGGACCGAGGACCGAGCCTGTCAGAGATGAGGAGGGTGGCACCGGGTAGGACAGGTGCGGATCTGCTGTTCATATGGTCCCTGCGAGCCGTTGTCCACTCGACTGCACCAAACAACAACAACTGCACTCAGACTAGAGAACACAGCTTCTCTGCGCCCTGGGAAATGAGGCTCTCATGTGTCCTGCTTTAAACAGCGACCTTCACTTGACCACGGTGGTCTGTAAGTGGACCCACAGCGCCTATGAGCACACATGCAGCATCCTGAGTGCACACAGTGTCATGAGCGCCCATCCCCAGTGCCCGCGCAGGGTCCCCCAGTGCCCGTGCAGCGTCCCTGAGCACCTGGGCAGCGTCCCCAGTGCCTGCGCAGCATCCCTGAGCACCTGGGCAGTGTCCCCCAGCACCCATGCGGCGTCTTCAAGCGCACACATATTATAATTTTGTCTTCCCTGGTTACAATTAGGGGTTTTCTATCATTCTCTCCTCCCCTAACATCTCGCTCATGCTTGCCCTGGTCCCTATGTGCCTGTGACCCCACCCCATCCTGTGTCTCAGAGAAGTCCTCTTGGAATCTGAAGGGAGCACGTGGCCAGGCTGTCACGTGGGGGCTGTTAAGGAAAGGGAGCCCTGCTAGTATTCGGCATCATTCTAACCAAAAGGCCACTAGTTAAACCCAGTAGTCAGTCCTCTGGAGAAAGAATACTAAGATTGCAGCCCTGACACCTGGAGGGGATCAGCAGAAGGCAGACTTAACTCTGAGCACGGGGTCAGTTCAGGTGTTCGTTTTCAATTGCTCAGGGCAATGCTGGGTGGTTTTGAACTCCCAACCCTAAGGTCAACAGCCTAATGTGCACTGCTAGTGCCAAGGAGACCTGCCACCGCAGCTCTGAGAGGAAACACTCTTCACCTGGGGTCAGGGCCATCTCAGGGGGGACGGAGGTCCTGGTCAGGCCCAGCCACAGCTTTCAGACCCCACTCCCAGGTCCTCAGCACCACGGTCCCCACTTACAGCTCCAGCCCTTCTTCGTAAGGACACTTGGGTTGCCATGAGCCCTTCTTTATTCTGGAACCGGAAGACAGCTCCGCTGCAGAGAGAGGGACAGTCAGGCCGCCATGCAGGCTCCTGGACAGCCACTCAGACTGCCCAGCCCACATCTGCCTGCCCAGCCCACATCTGCCTGCGCCGTCCAGGACTGGCAGGTTGGAGGCCCTCAGCCTCCAACCACCCAGCAAACAGCTGGCTCCCGACCCCTGCAGGCCCAGCTCAGGCTGAGACAACCTCATTCTGGAATGCAAGGGTCCACAGGCTCAGGGAGTGAGGGGCTGCTGGGCTCCACTGGCCAAGACCACCGTGCAGCTGGCTAGCTGTTGAGTGGTCCACTGGCAGTGACGTCCGGCCCTCCCAGGCACAGCACAGACATGGTGCTCTGTGAAGTGAGTTCCCTGGCCGCCCTGGGTGGGGCCAGCACACAGGGATCTGAGCCCCAGCTGGCTCCAGCCCCACCACCCACTATGGCCGTGTGCTCACCTTTCTTGCTTTGGTAGAGCAGATTCGAGTCCCACTGGCCCTCCTTGAGGAAGACAGTGCGGCGCAGCTGGACACCCAGGTACTCCAGGAAGCGCTTGCGGGCCAGCAGGATCTCCCGCTCGGCTGGCATCAGTGTATGGAAGGGGCAGTGGGCGATCTTCCGGTCCTGCAGAGCCCATGGGTCAGTGCCAGGCCCAGGCCCCCCAGAGGGCAGACCCCACTCCCCATCCTAGGGGCCAACGCCCATGGAGTTAGTACCAGGCCCAACCCAGGTCCACCAGAGGGCACCCGGGATCTTAGCAGAACCCACAGTGACAGAGGCATGGGGAGGTGGCCAGCCACACTGAGCTCACAATATATAGTGAGGGCTGGTCAGGGAATCCTGATGGCCATGGGCAGAGGTCATGCCCACAGGAGCCGCCACCCTAGGAGGCTGGGGCGAGTCCAAGCCACACCTGGAAGAATCGGAAGTACCCATAGTCCACGGCTGTGCCCACAGCCACCTTGTCCCCCTGCGTGATTGTTATAGGGTACAGGATGTCTGCCCCGGAACTGATAAGCCGATCGACCTGTGGAGAAAACATCCTTTGTGTGCAGGGGGCCATGACAGTGGGGGGTGTCGGTCATGATGCTGGAGAGTGGGGGCTGTGACGGCAGGAGAGGGTGGTCATGACAGCTGAGGGGCTGGGGGCCATGACTCCAGGGAAGGGGAGCTGAGAGGTGGGGAGACATGACAGCAGGGGTGCAGAGAGTCATAACACGGGGTGCGACAGGAGGTCATGACAGGAGAGGACAGAGAGCCCTGTCCAGAGGACAGTGCTCAGTGAGTACACAGGTCCCTTCCAGCTGCTTCTGTGCTAGACCTGAGGGCAGAGGGTCTTCTCTCTCCCTAAAGTCCCAGGCCTCACCTGCACCCTCTAGAGGGTCAGGGGGCTGAGCAAACAGGCAGGGTAACAGTGCTGACTTTAGGGACAAGGACTCGGGTGGGGCGTTCTAAGGATAGCAGAGGAGAGCTCATTCTGGGCTCACTTTCTGGGGCAGCCCGATGCCCACCCCTCAGCCTGGACTCTGCTGTGTCCAGAACCATGCTGCTGCCTCTGACAGCAAGCTTGAGCCTGGTTACAGCCCAGTGTAAGCAGGCCTGGCCTGCTCCTCCTGGACCCTCTCAGCCCTGTCGCCCTCGCCTGGCCTGCTCCTCCTGGACCCTCTCAGCCCTGTCGCCCTCAAGGGCACAGAGCCGGCTGCTCTGCTCCCTGAAGGCCATTCCTTTGCACGGTGACTCAGTGTCCTGGTTCTCTCTCTAGGCCACGGTCCAGCCTGTTCTGGATGGAATGTGTCTCCTACCAGAGCTGTGTACGGTGCTGGTCCTCAAGTATAGTCCGGTGTGGGACAGAGTTTCTCTGTCCTGTTAATGAGGCTTCACTGGGCTCACCATTTTCCGGGCAGCCTCATGGATCGGAGAACCTGGCCCGGGCCCTGCACCACCCTTCCAAGAACTGCTGTTGGAGGTCCTTGTCTTGTTGAGCTGCCATGCCAGCCATTCCACTGAGGGGCTCCCCTTTTCACTGACCCTCTACTTATGAGACATGACCTTCTCCAGGGGCTGGTCCCTCCTGACAACTAGACCAGAATATGTGACACAAAGTCTTGCCATCTTTACTAACAAATGTTCTAGCTGCACTCCCAGATTCCTTCGTCCTTCTGACAGTATTTTGACAACAGTATATACAAAATTTTTTGCCAATATCAGCATTCAAAGGTAGCCAACCTTTCTTCTTCAGTCTTTCTTATTCATTGACTCTATTTCAGATGCATATAAAGTTATTGAAAATACTGTAACGTGAAGCATAAACCCCCTACATCTCAACATGACACTGGCCTTTTAGTATTTTAAAGAAGTCTTTGAATGATGTGCTCAGTGCCGTACACAGAACAGCACAGGTTCAGGTCCATTGTCCATGGGGTCGCCGTGAGTCATACTCAGCTCAACAGCACGTAACAACAAACGGCCTTTGATTTCTTCAGTACTTCATCAGTGAGCATTGATTGTTGATCCAAGTAAGAGGAAATAACTGATTTTCTTTGTTCCATGATTGTGCTTATGTGAAACTTAGACAAGGAAGCAGTCCTCAGAACAGAGTAGGGAAACACTGCATGGTTTAAAATTGGAAAGGAGTGCATCAGGGCTGCATTCTGTCTCCATACCTTTTCAATATATATGCAGCACAGATCATTAGGGAGGCTGGGCTTTATGAGGAGGAATGTGGCATCATGATCGGTGGAAGAGTCATCAACAACTTCCGCTATGCAGATGACACAACCTTGCTTGCTGAAACTAAGGAGAACCTGAAGCGCTTGCTGCATAAGGTCAAGGACTACAGCCTTCAAAATGAATTGAAGCTCAAAATCAAGAAGACAAAGATTCTCACCACTGGGCCAATTGGCAGCACCATGATAGAAGGAGATGAAATTAAGGCTGTTAACAATTACAGCTTGCTTGGTTCCATAATCAACACTCTTGGCACCAGAAGTCAGGAAATGAAAAGATGAATTGCACTGGGGAAATCTACTTCTCCAGAGTACTAAAAAGCAACGATGTCAGTCTATAGGCTAAGGTGCACCTGATTCAGCCCATGGTCTTAACTGTTACTTGCTATGCATCAGAGAGCTGGACAATGACTAAGGATGACAAGAAGAAGAATTGATGCCTTTGAGTTGTGGTGCTGGAGAAGAGTCTTGAAAATACCTTGGACCACCAAGAAAACTAATAGGTCTGTCATGGAGAGAAGAATCCTTGGAGACAAGGATTTTGAAGCTCCATTTGACATAGTTTTAGCACGTGGCAGGAGAGACTGGTCCTTGGAGAAGCACATAATGCTTGGAAGGGTGGAGGGACAGTGCAGGAGAGAAAGACCCTGGATGAAATGGTTTAATACTGTAACTGGGGCAATGGGGGTTGGTGTTTTGGAATTAGTGAGACTGGGTCAGGACAGGGCAGGTTTCAGAGGCACAGAACAACAACAATAACATCCTGATGTTGCTTCTTGGTCCAGCTGGGAAGACTCTTGTTTTCTTGACGTTGAGGTGTAATCTATACCGAAGGCTGTAGTCTGACCTTCGTCAGTAAATGCCTTCCTTACATCTCCATTTTCTGCAAGCACATTGTCGTGTGGACTGCTGGAGAGCCGTCATGCAGCCCACAATGCCACTTTCTTCTTCAGATTCTAACTGTCTGCTCAGTGCACAGCTCTGGATATGCATGGTGACACACAGCTTTTCTGAACACCCTTCCTACGTTCAAATGGCTGCTTCGGCTGTGTGGTCATGTTTGGTATGAGTACAACGAAGTATCCTTGGATTGTCATTCCTCTCAATGTCGTAAGTAATTTATTATGATTCATTCATATAGTTGAATGTCTTTGCCTTTGCAGAGTCAATAAAATGCAAACATCTTTCTCTGCTTTTAGCCAAGGTTAATATACATCGGCTATCCTTAGCAATCATTTCACCATGTCTTCTGAATCCAGCTTGAATCTCTGGCAAGTCCCTGCTGATATACTGTTTTGGCAATATTTGAATAATCCTCAGCAAGATTTTACTTGCACGTTATATTAACGATACCACCCAATTATTTCTGTGTACTATTAGACTGCCTTTTTTGGGAATGGGCACAAACATGGAGCTCTTCCAATTAATTGGTCAGGTAGCTGTTTTCCAAATTTCTTGGCATAAACAAGCAAGTACATGCAGGACCGCATTCGTTTCATCAAACACCTTCACTTCCAGTTCCTGAAGTCTTTTGTGCCAATGTCTTCAGGCAGCTTCACTGTTGGTTCTTGACCAAATGCTACTTCCTGAACTGCTCAATGTTGAAAAATTCTCTTTGTAAAAGAGACTGCATATTCCAACCATCTTCTTTTGACACTTTCCACTTCATTCTCTATTTTCCTCAGGGAATCCTTCCTGCAGCTCAGTTCCTGAATCCCTTCCATTCAGCTATCATCCGGCGTTTCTTCCTTTTGCATAGCTTCTCTATGTTCTAAGGTAGCAAGCTTCAGGATCTGTTTTAACACTCATTTTGGTAATTTATTTCTTTCTGGTCTTCTTAAGGACCTTTGGTTTTTCTCCATGTCTGACACTCCTGATGTTATCCCACATCTCATCTGGCCTTTGGGCATTTGTGGTTCTTCAGAGCCAGCACATGGCCCTGCGTGCTGGTAAGCGGGTCAGGGTCTTCACGGCAGGGTCTGGGATTGCAGAGACGATTTCAGGCTGAGCCCTGGGCTCTCGGCATCAGGGCTGATGGGGCATGGAGGACAGGCCACTGGGAGGGGATGCTGAGGAGCAGGGCTGCTGACCACAGCTTTCATTGTGACACCAGTAGAACTCAGTTGAGTAACTGCATTTACTAGACTTGCAGGAGAGGGGGGTTCTGCCCTGAAGAGGTTCGGGGCTCAGGAAGGGAGCATTTAGGACCTGGCGGGGATGCTGTGAGGTGCTGTGAGCAGAGGGTGGATTGGTGGCTTGGAGTAGAGTGTGTGACTTGTAGTTGAATGGACAGACACAGGAGGTCAAGGGTTCGGGGAGTGGCTGCTAAGTGGTTACAGTCCAGCACACAGGATCTCTGTCACCCCCAGTGGAAGAGTCTAAGCTCAGCAGCCTCTAGAAGCAGGTCCCTGATCATGTTTGCCAGGCCCAGAACAGAGGTTCTCCAGTGGTGCCGTGGTTAAAGTGATCAGATCCTAAAGAGAAGGTCACTGTTTAAACCCACCAGCTGCTCTGCAGGAGTGAGATGAGGCCGTCCGCCCGGTAGGGGAACAGCCCTGTAGACCACACGGGTCAGCTTCACTGTTCCGACAGTCACTGTGAGTGGGTCGACTTGAGGGCAGTGTGTCTGGTTTCTTTGTGTGTTGTGTGGTTGTTAGGTGCTGTCAAGTCAAGTACAACTCAGACCAACCCTGTGAACAGACCTGAACCCTGTCCCCCCGTCCCGTCCTCTCCAGCTCTGACACACTTGAGCCCATTACTGCAGTCACGGTATCAATCTATCCAGTTCAGGAACTGACCATCGACCTTTCCAAGCACTTTTCCTAGTAACATGTTCAATGTATGTGAGATGAAGCTTTGTCATCCCTGCCTCCACAGAGCACTCTGGCTGCATTTCTCCAAGACATATGTTTGTTCATTTGACCATCCATGAGACCTCGGCACGCTTGTCCAACACCACAGCTCAAAATATCAATTCTTCTTCTGTCATCCTTGCTCACTGTCCAGCTGTCAAATGCACAGTGTTGGTGTTGTTATATGCCGTCAAGGTGCTTGCGTATGTTGCAACGCTGTGTACAATAACCCTATATCCTTCTCTATCCTGTGCCAATCTTTTTATTTTATTTATTTTTATTAATTTTAATGAACCTTTACAGAGATTTTGGATTTCCATTCATTCATTGTTGTACTTTTCTCCCTGCCCACCCTCCTCACCCCACCCCTCGTTTGCTCTTCTCTTTGAAAAGTAAAAGAGAAATTCCTTCATTGGTATACAATCCCCCTGTACTGAGTACACTCAACA